GGCAGTGGTTTGAATCCAGAAGCATTTTTCAGGAGAAAGAGGTGGCAATCTATTTCTGTATATGGGAATCTAAGATGATTACCTTGTTAAAATTTAGATTCTGATTCAGTGTATCTGGGGTGGAAATGCAAATTCACAGCCGAGGGCTGAACCTAGTGAACTATTCTGAAGCACTGTTCCTAATGTGCTACCTATGCATTTAAGTGAAGTGTAAGCTCCCTAGGTGGCATAGAGGGTTTGTGTTCAATGGCTAACTTAAAGGTTGATGGTTCAAATCCACCAAGCACACAGATGTGCTTCCATTAAGATTAAAGCACCCCCCCATCCCGCAACATCCTATGAAGTTCTAGTCTATATACACATGGGGCCACAACTTGGAATTGACTTGATGGAAATTTAAAAATTTTAACAATTCATACACATTTTGTTACATCACTGATTACAATTCTTATAATGTAATATCAAGTATCCCACTGCTTTTGTTTCCTGTTTCATCTTTTCCTAATCCTTCTGAACTTTCCCTTGGGTTTGTGCTGCCCTTTTTTATCGCAAACAATTGGTTATTCTAAGGTGTGCCTACCTCTAGTGTTACTGCTGCCTTTATAGATCTGTCTATTTTTTTGTCTAAAAACAGAATCATGCGGGGAGTTCATTTCCAGACTTGAAAAGTGACTACAGGACATAATCTCAGGGGTGACGTTATTAAAAAAAACTAACTTAATTATATTTAAAGTTTCCCAGACATCTGTGGGATTTTTATGTGTTTATTCTTTAAAAGATCTATAAACAACATTTTATACAAATCTTGAGCAATTATCTTACAAACATGTCCAGAATTCATAACACTTTACAAAAACAAAATACAGCAAATCCAGGGAAGCAGCTGAAGCACAGGGATAAAGGCCCCATCCTGTAACAAAGGCCTCCCCACAGAGGGGTGGCAAGGAGTGCGCCACGGCAAGCCCTCTTCCCTCCATGTTACAGACACCCCTTCCCCCAATTAGAACTCATTTGGCCCCCCAGGGTGGAGTGTTACAGGAAACCATTGGGACCGTATCTAGTAGGTGCCCCACTGAGATGAGCCAGATTATAAACAGTTTTAATAAGACGTGTTCAGTTCTATTCCCTGGACCCATATCTGTTGGAATTATATTACACAGCACCACTCCTTACCAAGTGTCTGCTTCATATTCCAAGCACACCTGAAAGCGTTATTCCGACAATACTGTACAAGTCATTAAAGTGTCGCACACTACACCTTTGCAGGACTGAGGTTGAATACTTTTTTAATGCTATTTAAAACCATTAGCAGGGGTTGAATAAAACACACCAACATTTTCTGTAACATTTATCAATGAAAACTGCACCATCATTAACAAATTCCTTTTTGCAATGACTAATACTAGTTTATATATTAAGGATATGGGTGATTAAGTGGTGTGTCCTTAGGCATTTCCTATAATTCCGAGTCCCATTTAATTTGAGCAAAAAGTCCACAATTCTAGGGGTACCAATGACAAGTGTTGTCTTAGACATTAGAGTTTGAAATACCTTATTCTCAGGGCTTGTGGGGTGGGAGGGGTCTCTCTGGTATCCTTAAGCTTAACATGAAACTTTCAATAGCTAACTCTCACAGAGCTCAAATATCTACCTGCAGGACTAACCAACTTTGTGCACATAAAATAACAGTCCTGGGCATCAATACTGACTCTTTTGTATAACTTTGGGCAGGTAATTTACCTCTGTGAATTCCAGTTTATTAGGAAAATGAAGAGGTGAATATCTCCTAAAGTTGACGTAAGGATTGAGTAATATAACATACATACACTGCACTGCATATGGCAGATAATGAAAAGAAATGGTAGTTCCCATGATGTTGAAAGGACATTTTCCTAGCAACTGTTGTTCCACAAAGTTTAATGTTGGCCTGTGAGGGACATGCTGCCCAACTGTGACATATGGTGGAAGAGGAGCGACACCTATTTCTATAAAGTACTCAACACCCATCCTCCCAAGCAGCTGCCACCAAGAGCCCATGCAGTTCAAGCTGCCGTGATATTTCAGGGAGGAGAAGTATGTGTGGGGCTAGTGTTCTCCATTTCGGTCACGCCTCCTTAGCACCCTGATCTTAGAGCTCTTTTGAAAATGTCCCACCACGAAGTTTCCTCTGAAGACAAGTGCCTTCACAGATGTAGCACAAACATACAATGGGCCTGAATGTCATACAGCAAAGGCCACTTAAAGAAATACAAACAATGAAGGCAGAGTGGAGACAGCACTGGTTCTAAACTCCTCCCAACAATTCTCCAGTGATGACCGCAGCAGCAACAGGGGCATCCTCTGAGAGCTGACCCACTTGAAACGTAAACTTCAAAGAGTGTGTGGAATACGTCAAGGCATACTAACTCTTGGAAACATTTTCTTTGGCACATTTTGTTTGATTTAGGGCAGAGACTGTCAGTCAAAACTTCATTTCTTCTGGAGAAATTTCATTTTATTTCCTAAAAGGATAAAGAAAAGAGTATAATCTCATTAAGTTGTTTTTAATTATTGTAAGTTATATGGGGCAACAGATGAATAATTTAGTGACGCAGAATACCCACAAATCTGCTGAAATGACACATTTTAACATTAACCAGTTGCAGAAAAACCCCAGGTGTCTAAAATTGTTGAGGTAGAATCCTGATCAGAAGAGGGCATTTGCAGAACAAAATTTCAAATTCTCGTGGTATCTAGATTTCCTGGGACCATAATAATTGGATGAACCCCTGAGATAATCTTTAAACATTAACCCAAGAATATACCCTAAATAATAAAAAGTATGAACAAAGTTCAGAGGAGTTAGCCTAGGAAAGCTACGTGATCATGCCAGGCCAGCGAATGCCATGCAGGGCTAGAGCAGGGAGCTTTGTCTGAGGGAAACAGCCCCTGAACTTTCTTAAGCATAGCATATACATGATCCCAACTTCTGAGAAAGAGACTTAATTTTCTCCCAAACACTTGGGCACTACCGTCATAGTTTCTAGTCAGCCTATTTGAGATTAACAGTACCCAAATGTATTGCTGACCTGATTATGTGAATTGCTTAGTATTGCCCTTTTAGCTATAGTTGTTATAACTCCCATCACTTGACTGGGTATGACTTTGCAAATATGAGGTGCTTGTGTACATAAAGGGGATTGGACAGCTTGCTAATTATGCAAATAAGGTGCATGGCACCCTTGAGGGGGATAAGGACCCTGAAAATCAGGTGTGTGAAACCCTGATGGGAACGGTTAGTTTTGCCATCCCTCTAGGCTTATATCCCAGAGGTGGAAAGGGGAATCTTACTATTATCAAGAAAGAACAGCCAGGAGTGGGGCATGACATTTGGATCCAAGAGTCCTGCACAGAACCTCCTTGCTACAGAAAACAGAGAACTGAGATACCAGAGATGGCGAGAGAGGTACAGAAGCAATAGAGAGAAATTATGAAGCAGGGCCAGGAGAACTAAGAGACTGGCAATGAAGCAGGTGGGCTTCCCAGCTCAGAGTGAGAAGGCGGAATGCCTTCAGGTAAGAAGAGACTTGCTGACAAGAGAAGGCGCCCCGGTACTTAGTGAACCTAAGTGTGCTGACGCACAGAGCTAGAGCTGAATGTCTGTGGGAGACACCCAATGTTTTTGGCAGAGTAAGGTGTCACTGGGCACTTCATTGGCAGACCGAAAGAACTTTGTATCCCTTGCCAGAGCAGGTGAGAGGCCAAGGAGCCAGAGCCGAAAGACACTGAGGGTTAGAGAGCTATCTATGCCTGTGGGCATGCCTGAGGAGACGCGGTCTAGGTTGAAGAACTATGTCCTGAGTTGCTTCTGATCCTGAATCATAACCTGCTACTTTCCTAATAAATCCCATAATACTGAGTTGTGTCCATGAGGTTTGTGCGGCCATTGCAATGAATTATTTAATGCAGCAGAGTGTCATTGAAGGGTGGTGGGCATCAGAACTGGTATAAAGGTTGAGGGTGAAGGCATGTGTGACCTCCACCTCATCAAAATCTGCCTTGGGTGCAGGTGATACTCTTTGTCTTCACCCCGGCACCATAATTTCAGATTAGTAAGCCTTCGCGATTGAAGTATGCTTTCAATATTTCTCAGCCACTTTTATCCAACAAGAAAGTACAGCAACTCACCAAGGCTCCGCAAAATTCTATTCATCCCACTGGGCTCAGACTCAGGAATGGTTTCCAAATACTGAATAGCCCGGACCTCAAACAAACCTGCAAGGAAAACTCATGTTGGTAAAACTGCCTAACTCTCAAAAGCTTAAAGTTAGGTAAATAAGACTTGATGTTCATTACCAGTGCAATATTTCTATGGGCAAAATAATATCTTAAAATAAATATGGTTAATTCTCACAATAAGCAATTTACATTTTGAACCCATTTTTAAATATTATTTTCATAGTCCCAGGCACTTAAAAAGAGAGGGAGAATGTTCTGATGGAAACTGACCTTTCACCCCACTTTTCCGAAGCTCTCGGTCCTGGATGAATCCTGCAAACATCTGAGTCTCCATGAAGAGATCCAGGAAGTGGCGCACGCTTCGGGAGGTGTGGGACTTACGGAACGGCTCCCTTTGGAAGATGCGCTCCCCACGCTCAGTGACTGTCATGCTCAAAGAATAATGTCCCACCAGCTCCACAAAAAACCTGACAAATGCTTCTGACACTAGTGAGTTGAGCGTCACATCTGCATCGAGATGAAAATTTTTTTAAAAAAGAAAGAAATCCTCTAAGTTTTGGGTGCTTGAGAATACTACCTGTGGTTATGAAATTCATGATTAAGAAGGTATACTGAGACTAGACCAAGGACTACAAGTTCTTAGCTTTCTCTCACTCTTTCCACGATTGGAGAAACGTCAACGGCTTATCCCCTTGCCCTCATTTTCTTCCCACACATCCCAAATCAAAGCAAATTCACTACCACCGAGTCGGTGCTGACTCACAGTGACCCCGTAGGACAGCACAATCGCCCCTGTGAGTTTCCCAGTCTGGAACTGTTATGGGATTAATAAGCCTTGTCTTTCTCCAGTGGGGCGGCTCAGGTGTCAAACTGCTGAGCTGGTGGTGTGAGCAGCGCACTGTGTAGCCAGGCAGCATCCGGGCTCGGGGCCCCGCACACACTCTCACTAAATTACGCAGCCCGCCGTGCACATCCACCATTTCACTGGGACTGCCCTTCCAAAGGAGCCCAGTGTGAACCAGCCAAATTCAACTTTCCACCGTTATCCTCCTTTAAACCCCACTGCAGCACGGTGCAGCCGTCTTCTCATTGCTCAGCTCCCACAACTCTCCGCTCCTCTCATTTCCCGGGTTTATGACCAAGCATTCGTTTTTTCTGTTGCTTCTACTTCTTCCTCCGATGATCTCCACACCACGTCCTCTGTTCAATACACCCTTTCCTTAAAGAGCTAATGAGCACAGAGTTAAGGTGATCATTTCCAACCTTAAATTTCTAATCCTGATATGGCCTCTCAATTCCTCTTCTACGTTTCCAGGAGATCATCATTTGGCTACCTGATTAGCACTTTAAATTTCATTTGTTTACAAGATACCGTATGAGGCCTTTTTTTGAATCTTATATAATCTACATAGACTAGGTAACAACACATCTAAAGCAGCATTCATTATAGTCCACCACCCAATTAGTTTCGCTCTCAACTTTCCCCTTTCACATAGCACTGCGATTATGTCATAATAAATGAATACTGAATGCTTAAAATAGGCCAGGCAGGTAGGACAGTTGTCCAGCCAAGTAGTGTAATTGCTGTCAGTAAGCTGTACACCTGTAAAGAGCTGAATTGGCAAAAGTTGTGTGATTTACAATGAAACAACAACAGAGTAGCTGCGGAGGCTGCTTGTGTACAACCAACCATCTCACAGGATTAGCTTCCTTGGTTTGAAGTTTGGGGTAACGGTTTCATGGGACTTTCCCATCAGCTGGCCTAAAGGCGGGTTTAATGCTCTTGAGTTGATGGAGAGTGCCTGGGTCTTCAATGTTTGCAAGCAGCTTTCCAACAGACAGCCATTGTTGTCTATTCACGTGGAGCACTGGAGGAAGGGTTTTGCTCTGCTCTCAGGCTGGTGATGTTTTGTTCTGTTGTACGGTGTTGCTGTGAGTTGGAACCTACTGGAGGGCTTCTAACAACACAAGGCCACATGGTTCTTCACTAGTATGTTACTTGAAAACGCCTTGCCTCCCAAGTCCCAGGCTCAAATCTCAGATCTGATTTAAAGTCCTCCTTTTTATTCCATAACCGTATGAGCTATCTCTCCCCTCACCCAAATATCTCTTGCTTTTTCCCATGAACTCCATCTTGCCTGTGGAAGCAGGGAGCTAAATTCAGTCACAGTTCTACTATGAAACTGTTATATAAAAATGGGTAGCTCATATTTGCCTCTTTTGGCTTCTTCTATATTTTTATTCTAGTCTTTGTTTATTATATTTTGTTCAACCGAATCCTGCTTTCTTCTCACTATTCCACTTAACCTGCAATTTTCAAGGTTTCTAAGCTCCCAAATATCAAATCCAATGGCTAATTCTTCATCTAAGCGATTTTCTTACAATAGACACAAATGTTTACTTTTGCCTTTTTGAAACACTTTCTGCATTTCAGCTTCTGTAACATAACACATTTTGTCTTTTCCTCCTCCTTCACTAGCTGCTCCTTTAATCTCCTTTTTTTGAATCTCTCTTTCCTCCCCAAACTCCAAATATTGGAAACTGTACCATTTGCAACTAATGTATGGTTCAAGCCTTAAATCTGTTTGTTTGTTTGTTTGTTTTTCTAATTGGTACTCACTTACTTGGGTCATCTTAATGAGATCCGTAACTTTAAGTAGCAATCTCTAACCCAAATATGCCCTCTGAACAGCACATTTATGTATATAAACATCTACTTGATGATTCCAATTGGGTGTCTTCTAGGTACTGGACATCCAATAAATATTTTAGACTTAATTTACAAAACTAAACTTTTAATTGCCTTCCTAAACCTGGTCATTCTCTTATGTTCCCAGCAGTATATACTCTTCATGTAAAATAGGAATTGACTAATAATACCTATTTTAATAAGGCTATTCCAAGGATAAATACATATGTTAAGTTCTTAGCCCAATGCTTGGTACATTGGTAAGCACTTGATAAATATTATTATTCAATGATTTATTCAACAAAAACTGTACCGTGTGGAATTATTGATGCCTGTGTAAAGAATCTCATCTGGGAGTGGGCTGTCTGTTATCAGTCAGTGAGACAGAACTAGTGAGTTTTAAGTTAATCTCTTTTGAGACATAAAAGAGATTAAACAGGTGAGCAGAAAAGAGATGGGGAACACACATGCCAAGGCACAAGATCACCCCAAAGCCAAAGCTCAGCGAGACAAGGACCTTCCACCAGCGCTAACGGAGCACCTCCCAGAGTGTGCACCGGAATTCAGGCTTGTAGCCTTCTAGAGATTGACAAAGATAAATTTCTGTTTGTGAACGTCACCCATTTGTGGTCTTTGTGATAGCAGTACTGCATAACTAAAACAAATACCTCCTGAGTACCTACGCAGCAAACATTTATTTTAATACTGGTTACAGTATTGAGAATAAAAAACAAAACAAAGTGACCATCCTCACAACACTTGCATTCTGCTTCATCATACGAGGGGGTACCACCAAAAAACTGGAATGAAGCTCCGCTGGGTGAAGCTTTCATAGCACAAATTTTTCCTGGTAGGCATGCATGGAGCAACTTGCTCAGTTAGTGCACCCACTGGCGTCGCCTGGGAAGGTTGTCTCTGGTCACAGTGAATTTTTCCCTAATAGCAGTTTTGCTCAAACCTTGTTTTTTTGATGGCTGACTTAAGAGAATAGCATGCTGCTGTAAAATTTTGTTTCCTGCTTGTGAAAAATACCACAGAAACTGGTGATGCTGAACACAGCTTACAAGGACAACACTATGGGAAAAACTCAAGTGTATGAGTGGTTTTCTCATTTCAAAAAAAAGGGGAGTGTTGATAGATGATGAACCTCATTCTGGATGTCAGTCAACTTCCCAAGTGGATGAAAATGTCGACAAAATCCATGCACTTGTGCTCGAAGACCAACAACAGACCACTGAAGAGATGGGGAAGTTATCTGGACTATCTTGGAGCTCGGTTCAGCGAATTTTAATGAAAGATTTGGGAATGAGCTGGGTTGCTGCAAAATTTGTGCCTCGAGTTCTGACCAGGAAAAAGAGCGTTGAGTGGAAACATGTTGTGCTTTGAAAGAACAACTCCAAAGCGACACAGACTTTTTTCCCCCAGGGTCATTACTGGTGAGAGACGTGGTACTATTCTTAGGACCCTAAAACCAAACATCAATCAAGCCAGTGGAAGACACCATCATCACCTCACCCCCCAAAAAGCTCATCAAGCAAAATCAAAGATCCAGATGATGGTCATTTGATTTTGTTGTTTTTTATGTGAGGGGGATAGTGCATTTGGAGTTTGTTGCACCAGGTCAAACTGTTAATCAAGCTTTCTATTTAGAGGTTCTGAAAAGACTGCATAACAGTGTGCTACAAAAAAGGCCTGATTTATGGCAGACCACGACAATGCACATGCTCACATAGCCATCTCAGTGTGCCAGTTTTTGACACAAAACAGCATGCCTCTCTTGCCCCAGGCACCTTACTCACCAGCCCTCTCTCCATGCAACTCTTTTTGTTACTGCAAATGGAGAGGGACATGAAAGAAATTTGACGATATAGAAAAGGTGAAGGAAAAAACAAGGGAGGAGCTGTCAACCATCCAAATAGATGAGATTGAAAAATGTTTCCAAGAATGGAATCTCATATTTGACAAATGTATTAAGTGTAATGGAGAGTACTTTGAAGGTGATAAGGTTGTTTTGTAAAAATATTTAAATACACAGCTTTTTTGGGGTGGAGGAAGTCCTGGTTTGGGGAGTACCGCCTCATATGGTAGCATGAATCATGAAGAAAAATAGGGCATGTCAGGAAGACAGGGCATGCTGGGGTGCAATTTTAAACAGAGGTTAGCAAAGGCCTCATTTAAACGGCCACAGCTGCTAGTGGATCAAGGAGGAAAGCACAGAAGCTAGGTGGATGGATTCTGGGGGAATAGTATTCCAAAACTGAAACAGAAAAGCACAAAAGATTCTATGATAGAAGAGGAGCTGGAATATCTGAAGTTTAACTAGGAAGCTGGTTATACAACTTCTGAGGGAGCCTTGGTGGCCTAGTGGTTACGAGTTGGGCTACATAAGATCTGCAGGGCTGGCAGTTTGAAACCACCAGCTGCTACCTGGGAGAAAGACAGGGATTTTTACTCCCAAGAACAGTTACAATCTCAGAAACTCACAGGGGCAGGTCTACCCTGTGCTATAGGCAGTGAGACACAGGTAACCTAAACATTTAAAAATACATATTCATATATATTTTTGCTATTCAATCCTGTAAATATAGCATTGAGCTTGAGTCCCTAGTTGGCTGTCTCATACCTTGTGAAAAATTCTGCTCCTGAGTCAAGATTTCATTTCGTTCTTCCAGAATTTGCATCAGGGCAGCTTGGAGTTTAGGTGGTAGAATTTCTTCTTCATCAGATATCTTAGGAGAAGAAATTGAAATTTCCCATGAGTTTGAGGAAGAAAATCTCACCATGAATTACATAGGTCCCCAAATTCCAAGGTGGCTTTGTATATATTTTGCCTAAAGAATCAGCCCGAAGTTTCCTTTCCGATGCTAAACAGAATACATGATGTTCATGGCTATACATTTTAATCACGAATATGAAAAAAAGTAAGTAATATACTTTTTAAACTTTTCTAGGTCTTAAACCAAGCAGTATTAGTAAGCAGCACTTTTTCCTTCAAATATCTCTCAAGAACTCTCATGCTATATTGCAAAGGTCAATTCCAAATAAATGTCTCAAATGTGGTGAGCTCACTGTTTTTTTTAAACAATTTTATTGCACTTAATCCACAGCACACAATTCAATAGTTCAATCATATCAAGAAGAGGTGTACAATCATTACCACAATCAATTTTAGAACACTTTCCTCACCCCCGCCATGGTTACATCATTTTAAAATGATTTGTGTAATCATCATCTGTTGTAATGCTCCCCCCTACCCCCACCCCTTCCCTATCACTGGTTCTTAAATTGAGACAAAGTCTTAGGGAATCCTGTCCCCACCTGTGTTTCAGAGCTTAGGAGCCATTTACAGTTTACATAGTTGTTCTAAGAAGGGCTTTGAACCCTGGATTCTAGTTCAGTGCTCTGTTGAGAACTGTCATGTCCTGCCCAGTCACTGAAATCAGAATCTACATCTTAACAAGATCCCCAAATCTATAAAGAGCTACAATAATGGGATCCCCAAGAACTTGGGGATCCTGTTAAAATGCAGATTCTGGTTCTGTGTATCTGGGCTGGCTATTCACATTATGGGGAACAGGAGGGTGAAACAAACAAACAAACAAACAAACATAACCAGTTTGAAACCCTCTTTGTAACTCTCCCTTCCATCGCGATATCTAGGATAAGTGACCATTTTCTTCTTTTTTGCCCCCATTATACCTTGTACCCATTATAGTAATACTAATTTCCATTATTACCATTTCTAGATATTTCTAAGTTTATTGCTTATGTCCGTCTTATGTCCTGAATTAGATAATAAAGCCTTAGGGCTCAAACTGTTTCTATCAACTCTTTAGATTCTAACTGCCTGACAGAGTATATACAAAAAAATAGGTGTTTCGTAAATCGTTGTTAAACTTAATGAAATTAGAAGTTTATAAATCAACTAATCTGGATTTGAAGGGAGGGTCACCTCTTTTGAGAATGACGTTTATTGCTTCCTCCTTCCTTCTTTGAGGTAGACAGTTATAAACCCAACCCAAAAGTTTCAGGTCAATCTTGTATGATTGGCCACAGTGTCAACTCAAGTATATGTGGAAGCTTGTGTGAGTCATTTTCTCTAAGTACTTTCACATATTTTCTGGCCAATTATCTAGGGAGACTTTTATCCCTGAACATTATGAAATCTTCTCCTTTGTCACTCACCTCCTGTAGGAACTTGTCTGCACAGAGATCAACTATCAGCACCTATGGGATAAAGGAACCAGGCAAGTTAAACCAGAGACAGTCACAGAGAAATATCCTTGGTACTGCTAGGCCAGGAAGGGAGTCTTGATCCTGTTATGTAATGAGAAGGTTTTACAATTAACTCAAAAAATTGTAGTCATTTAGGAATTCGTTGGTCTTCACTTGCCAAGTGCTAACAAACACCTCCCCATTTCAAAAGTTTCTCATGCTTTCGATAAATATTTGTTTAACTTAAAAAAAAAAAAAATTTAGGGAGGGGGGAAAAAAGGAAAATTAGAGGCTAGCGAATTTTGGGAATGATGAGGGCAACAAATGTATAGATGTGCTTTAAACAATAGATCTATGTATTGTGATGAATTGTATGAGCCCCAATAAATTGCTTAAAAAAAAAAAATTTAGTATGAGCCCCTAATAAAAGGTTAAAAAAAACACATTTAAAAGTTGATACATCAACAAATATATTTTAAGTAAAAATAAGATGGTACACACATCTATAAATTAAAATAAACTTTAAAATCAAATGCAATGTATGGATTTTATTTTGTTCAAAATTTAATATCAAAGTGTTAAAAATTTATAAAGGTAAATGGTAACTTGAACACTGGATCTTGCTTATATTAAGGAATTATTGCTAAATGTTTTAGGTATTATAATAGTGGTATTGTACTTATGTTTAAAATACTACAGTATGTACAGATGAAATTATGTTAGGGATATGCATCCAAATATTATAGACTAGAGAAACAGATAAGGATAAAGATAGGCCCTAAGGAACAGTGATGGGCACATAGGGTTCATTGTACTCCTGTCACCTTTTTGTATATGAGGCTAACACACTAATCTCACTGCCATCAAGTCGATTCTGGCTCATGGCAACCCTATCTAGGGCAGAGTGGAGTTCCTGAGATATGTAAATCTTTAAGGAAGAGCCCGCCTTATCTTTTTCTTGAGGACCAAGTGGTGGGTTTGGATTGCTGACCTCCATCACATTGCTCAATGTGTAGCCCACTAGAGCTCCTTCTAAAAACATAGCAACCTGCATTTAACAAAAATATCATAATGTGAATTATGGCTTCTCAATTTTCTTCCATCTAGATCCATACACTCTTGAAAGTGGCGTTCCCAGCTCTTTGACCCTTCACTGAAAAATTCTGCATTCTTCAATTTATCCCACATTGAAATGTCAGTTTTGGCATCCTCCAGGGATACTCAAAGAACTCTGAAATATTCTTTAAGCTTTGGGAACAAATAGAAGTCTGATAGGGTAACATCAAGGCTGTAGAGTAGATGAAGTCAAATTCTTCAGCAAAATTCTGTGGAATAGTCCTTGCTACCCTTGAAGAATATGCAGATGCACTGCCATTAGGGAAACTAAAAGTGTAGGCAAAATAGTAAAGATTCCAGGAGACAATAGAGGAGAGGACCTTCATAAAGGTAACACAAAGAAAAACCTAAGCATCTAGCTCACAAAATCATGAGGTCTAAAGGACACGTTCAATACCACATTCAAATTAAGAACATCTATGACTGAAACACATCATTTTGAAAAGTGCACTTGAAAGCCACAGAAAATGCACTGGCATTCGGAATATTAAAAAGACAAATTACAAATTAATAATAAGCTAGCAATTCAGGAGGAAGCTAGAGAATACCTTTTACATGGTGATATTCAAATGACCAATAAACACAAAGAAAGATGCTCAACCACCACAGTAATCAAGGAATGAAAATCAAACCACAATGAGTACACCACACACATACCAGATTGGCTAAATCATACAAACTGATGAGAAGAAGTGATGGTGAGGATGTTCTACAACACGGACTCACACACTACTAGAGGGAGCTGATACTGGCACAATTACTTTAGCAAACAGCTAGACTTTACCTAAAGTTGAAAATATGCTCACACCATGACCCAGCAATTCTACCTCCTAATATACTCATTGAATTGCATATACATACATATCAAGAGCCATGTGCAGTAATATTCACATCAGCATTATTGTCATAACCCTAAACATGTCAAATTACCATCAATTATTGAGCAAGTAAATGAACCAACTGTGGTAACAGTCTCACAGTGGAATGCTATCTGGCAGGAGAATGCACAAACTAGTATCACACACAAACACAGGTGAGTCTTACTGACACAATGTTGAGCAAAAGCATCCTGACTTAAATGATATATATGGTATGACTGAATTTACATAAAGCTTAAAACCAGGCAACACAGGGGGTGGGAAGGGAACACTGATTAGGAGGTGCATGACTGGCCTTCTGGAGCACTGTCAAGTTAGCATCTCACTCCTCCGTTGGGGACACGAAGGCTCACTTTGAGATAATTCACTGAGTTCCACATTTTATTTTGAGCATCTACTTGTATGTGGATTTTATGTGAAACTATTTTCATTAAATTGTTGTTTTGTTCATCTTAAAACAGATAATACATATAGCCTTTATAAGTAATACAAGAATGAGCCCATCTGTTGTAAATGAGATAGTATTTTTCTCACTTAATAAAAAGGCGGTAACACGGTATCTTAATTTTGTTCATTACTGACCGCTCTATCCTATGAAAGATCATGTGTTTTTTATTTGTCAGCACACCAATACTGTACAATAAAAGTCAGAATAACTTTTCTCTACTAACAATAATTTTCTACATAGCTACAAACACTGACAAATTCTGATGGCCAAAGTTTCTAGCATTCCATTCCATCAACCGAACATGTTATACTTGCCTTTATCCCTCACTTTGACTTTTCCTTCTAATTTTTTACTGTCCTAAATAATTTTAATCCAATATTCTCATGCATATAGAGCTGTATCATTCTTTTAGATTACTTTCCAGGGTTATACCCCCAGAAGTAAAATAATAGGTCAAAGAACATTTAATAAGGGTCCATTATGTCCACAACCATAACAAAAACTTGCAAGGTAGTCATTATCACTCATCATTACATAGCTACCAGATTTTCCTATTACACAAGTACCAAATTACATAACTGTCGAACCACTCAGAATCAGGGCCACGCCAAGTCGACACAGGATTCTAACCATCACAACCAGCATTACTCTTCCTTCACACCTAACTTTCACACAGTTACTTCAGTCATTCAGTGCTGAACAGTCTGATGGTAGATTTTTCACTACTGTCTCCAATGCGAAGTTGTCAGGTAACAGATGAGGGGGACGAGATGCATTCCAGTTTTACAGATAAAGAAACCAAGGCTCAGAAAGGTAAAGCCAGTTGCTCAGGGTCACAATGCTAGCTGGTACCGAGCCAAGAATTGAACCCAAACCAGTCCAACTCCGAAGCCTAGGCTCTGTCCCCTATCACATGCTACTTGTATGGCACACACTGCCAACTTGCTTTCTTTTTTACTATTACCTGGCCAGGGTGAAGTATTTGTATGTTTTTTAAAATACATGAACTGCTAAAAAGGGTTGTTCATCGTTATTTGAACTCTTTCATAACAAAAGGCTGCAGATTTCCCATGTTGACAAATTTTGATGGTAACCTTTGGAGAAATCATTTATGCTTTCAACTTCGAGAAGTCAATTTTCAGGTGTGACTGCGCTGCAAAACCACCCAACCTCCACTGCACTTTGGAGTGCCATTTCTCTCATCTCACCTCTTCGATGGGTAGGTCGTGAAGCTGTGGTAAGGAGCAAGACAGGATTCCAATCAGGAATGGCGTTGGGGAGCACACAATGTCGATCATGGACACCGGCAGGACGGGGATGTAGGTGTGCTGCCAGGTGAACGGATACAGGGTGGCTACCACGGCATGACCGCATTTTGACAAGGTGCTAGTGAGAGGAGACAGAGACTGGTGTCACATAGAGGAGAGCACACGCAGGCCTTTTAAATGTATGTTTCATGAAAATTATAAATCAATACCTGTTCAAGATCAGATGAACAACTCTGTGATGATGCATTACCTGTTTTTTTTTAGTACTTGAGTTAGTTAATTGTGCCAGCCTGGCCGATAACCACATGTGGGGCTGGTTGAAAGGCGGAGGGATAAATGGGTGGTGAAGCCTCGCCTTTCTAGTTCTCGGGTCTCTTGTTTTGTGATGGTTGCATCGGGTGCAGCTGCCTTAGCAGTTCCCTGCTTCAGCTTGCAAGATTGACTTCCTACAAGACATCCCCAAGGAGAAGCTACATGGACCTATCCTGATGCAGCCCTGGGTGCTGGAGCAGCTGTGTGGAGACCCCTGCTAGTGCTGAGATGCTTATTCGTTCAGTGACTCAGCTTTCCTCCTGCAGTCGGCATCATTGCCACTGTTTTGTGAGGTGGAGGACTTTGTGGACTGGTGTTGGGTTCATGGGTTAATGTTGGACTTGTGGGCTTGGGCAGCATTGGGTTGGGATATTTTCGTGATGCACATTTTCTTTACATAAAACTCTCTCTTATACATGAGTTGTTGTGGATTTGTTTCTCTAAAGTACCTAGACTAATACAGTACTATACATTTTTAATGTCTTTGGTATGCCCTTCAACATTGAAATTTTTAATTTAATTTTGTTGTGTTCATTGCTCTTTAGCATTCCTTTAATTTTTAAAAAATTTAAATGTTTAATTTCAGTTAAGTTCTTTCACACAATTTATCATAGTAAAAATCTATGGGTACTTGGAATAAGCAATATCAGTTTTTAAGAACAGTACTCCAGGAGGGTGGAGGGAGGGTGGGGTAGAGAGGGGCGACCAATTATAAGGATCTACATATAACCTCCTCCCTGGGGGATGGACAACAGAAAAGTGGGTGAAGGGAGACGTCTGACAGGGCAAGATATGACAAAATAATAATTTATAAATTATCAAGAGTTTATGAGGGAGTAGGGAGTAGGGAGGGAGGGGAAAAATGAGGAGCTGATGCCAGGGGCTTAAATGGAGAGCAAATGTTTTGAGAATGATGTGGGTAATGAATGTGCAAATGTGATTTATACAATTGATGTGTGTATGGACTGTGGTAAGAGTTGTATGAGCCCCTAATAAAATGATTTAAAAAAAGAAAGAAAGAAAAGAACAGTACTTTAAGCAGAATGCATTTTGAAAAGTAAATTTCTTATGCTTCAAAAGACTCATTGCTGCAGTCTAATGCTTTTGGGTTATTATTTGGGGTTATCCAGGCCACTATTCTACTTTATAAGTAATTGAGAGACTAATGCTACATTTTAAAAACGGGTTCCCAAACAAGTACACCACCAGCGTGAAGTGTAACACCCCACATATTTCTCACCTTAGGCTGTTGGCCACAAAGATGACTCGCCGCTCCAGAAGAAGAGAGGCACAGACCCGGATGAGATGGCACACACTTAGGCACTTAAAGAGACATTCGAAATCAACATGTTCCAATCGTGAATCCAGCGGTCGGCAGAGTTCAATTGACTGAAGGAAAGAAGAGTTCAAATCAGGGAGGCAAAAGTTTAAAAAAATCTGATGACAATACTAATGGATCCTGTCAATTTTTGCTCCAAGAGAAATACAAGAAATAGGGTTTGTTAAAAAGTTTATGAAGCTACCTACCTGATTCCCCAGACCCATGACTTCTTGTTCTGCTATAAATTACAGCTAAAACCTTTTATCCCATGGGTCAATGGAGAGTATATTTTTCAGTTACCAAATCCAACCCATCATTCCACTGGTATTCAATCAATGTAAACCAGAGTCTAAGATCAACTGGCTCACAGACCAATTGGGTATCTCTGTAGTGCTTGGTGGGATAAAACCATATTCCTCACTTTGTGGAAAAGGAGAAATGTTCGGAATGCTTCTGGAAACTCTGCGTGTGAGTATGCTTTTATGGAATCTACTTGTCTTTGGGAGGCTATTAAACCTTTTCAAAGTCGACTAACTTACCCCATCTCCTGCCCCCGGGAGGTAGCTTTTAACTGTGATGGTGCGTCCAGGAGCTGGGAAAGGGGCTTCCATGACACTTCGCATGAATGGGTGAACCAGGGCTGGAGACATTTCTCTTCTCTTTTCTACTTCATCCAGAATCTGCATGCCCAAAACGTTATTTTATTAGAGTGCAGAAATACCAAAGAATTCTATTAAAGGAACTGCTTACATGTTGCATGCTCAAATTTCAAATAACACCAATGGGATTTAAGAGAGATAAACTTCTGAAAGCAACAAACACTCATTTAGGAGAGACGACCCTTTTCATTTCTTTAAGAACCTGAGACATGCATAGTGTTAAAGCAGGTGGCACTCATAATAATATTCTTCAATCTAATAACCTGGCGAGGAGTGGGGAGGAGAGGAGAAGCACGGGAGAGCCAAACATACAGGCTGGCGGGGTAATTCCTCTCTCTCTCTCCCGGGAGATGCTTAATAAAATTTCTCTAAGTGAAAATTCCAACAACAATAAAATAAAGTCTGGGAAAGAAAGGACCCAAGGTAAGAGCTTCAGCAAAGGCCTTGAGAGCATTAGCAAAACCAAAGAGGATGGTACCCTAACAGCTGGATTAGAGACCTAAATTTACATCTTCATGCTTGTTGTTCCTAATCTATTAATCTAATGTCTATGTCACTTAACACTGTGTAGCACAAGTACTTTGCAATTGGCTACTAACCTAAAGGTTGGCAGTTTGAACCCATTCAGTAGCTCTGAAAAGAGAACTCTGGCAAAGTGCTTCTATCAAGAGTTCAGCCAAGAAAACCCTATTTATTGTCCTTGGTACTTAGGGCATGTGGTAGTAACATAATCTGGTGTCAACTTGAGACTATTAGGAGTGAAGGGGTGGAGTTTAGCCTGTCAATCAGGTCGCAGCTTGATGACCTCATTTGGAGGTGCAATGGAGATAAATAGCTCATTGGAGGCCAGACCCAGACTCCCTACTATACATTTCTGTTGACAAGCCACATGGGGCTACGCTGATGGAGACAGAGCCCTGGAGCTGGAGAAGCCATGTGGAGACCCCTGCCAGTGCTGAGATGCTTCCACCACCACTGGATCCACAAGACTTTCCACTCACTGGCCTGTGATCTTCCTGAATTTGGCATCATGGCATGGGTTGCGTAAGTCTGAAGAGGAATTTACAGACTGGTAGCAGACATATGGGCTAATGTCAGACTTAGATCTGGACTGTGCTGGGATGTTTTCTTGGTATACAATTGCTCTTTTATATAAAGCTCTTTCTTATACACATTTGAGTGTCTATGAATTTGTTTCTCTAGTCTACCCAGACTAACAGGGCACACGGGCTAGCCATGAGACAAAGTTGACTAGAGAGCAATGGAGCTGATTTCAGACGTCAGTGAAGTCACTAGAAACAAGACCTTCCTCAGAGCTCATTCCTTTTCACAGTCCATTTTTCACTCACCTTTGAAAACAGGTTGAAGCAGCCCAGGCGACTAACCATGCAGTATACCTCAGGGAGTCGTTTTCCTTTGCCTTCAGGCTAAAAGGGGGGGGGGGGGAGCAAAGCAACAAAACAAAAATCAAATAACACAATTCTATACTAATCCAGACCATTAGTATTCACAGCAAGAATTAAGGCTCTTAGTCTCACTTTACACAGAGCAAAAGACAGAAGTACTAAAAATGATACAAGTAGTCCTCATTTATGACATACATAAGTTACAATTAACTGTAAATAGGTTGTTGTAGTAAAAATTAACCACCATGATAATTGTACAATTCTCCTTGAAATGACTGAATGGCAGAACTACTGAATTGTATGATATGTAAATTATGTGCAAAGACAAATAATGATTAGATTTTTTAAGATGTTGGCAATAGTAATGAAAAGTAAGGAAAACAAAGATGTTTGATTTACATGAGAACTGACTTCCTCTGCAGCCATCATAACAAAACCCATCATCCGCTGGATGCTACCAGACTTCCTGTTCCAGGGTTAGTGGAAGAGGGTAGGCGTCCAGGCAAGAAGAAAGCCTCAACAGGAGTAACTCAGAACTCCCTGGAGCGGCTCCTTTGACTTTTCCTCACATCTACCCAGACTGAGAGCTAGCCACCACATCAGCCGTTTCTTTCGTTATGTATGTGTGTGTATATATATATATATATATAGCAATAAAGTCAGAGCCTCAGATTTAAAAGCATTCTAAGGCTAAATCCCACCTTACTATGTTTGTAATTAACATCGCTACTTTAATACACAGATCAATAAATTGTCCTCAAACTCATCTAGCGATACTGTTGTTAAAGTTACTAGTCTGACTCTGGTGGTGTAGTGAGTTACACGATGGGCTGCTAACTGCAAGGTTAGCAGTTCAAAACCACCAGCCACTCTGTAGGAGAAAAAAGAAGCTTTCTATTTCCATAAAGGTTTACAGTCTCAGAAACCCACAAGGCCAATTTTACTCTGTCCTAAAGGGTCACTATGAGTCAAAAGCAATTGGATGTCAGTGAATTTGAATTTTGAGGGGAGAGTTTATTCTGACCCTACTATTCCTTGACAACCCATATCTGGTTCTTACCAAGAGCTTCTTACAGTATCCAAACCACCGGCTCCCATCTTCACCAGTCAAGACGAAGGAGAAAGTTTCACTGTGAAAAAAAAAAAAAGAAGTTATTTTGAGACCATTTATGACAGTCTTCATGGAAACAAAAAATCGAAAATTGGGGCCCAGCAGTAGTTATTTCATGATATAAGAGAGAGAATTAACATGAGGGGACTTAAAATTTTTGTTAGAATCATTTTAGGAATATCTTGCCTCAACTGGAGTGAGAGATTAGGTATCAGATGAGCTGTTGACTCCACTATCTCCCTTAATTATTCAATCTAGCTGTTAATTAGGTCTGTTTTCTGATAACTCAGTGGTTCTCAACTTTCCAAATGCCAAGACCCTTTAATACAGTTCCTGATGTGGTGGTGACCCCTAACCATAAAATTATTTTCATTGTTACTACATAACTGTAATTTTGGTACTGTTATGAATAGTAATGCAAATATCTGATATGCAGGATGCATTTTCATTGTTAGAAATTGAACATAATTAAAGCATAAAATTGAACATAATTAATCGCCAAAACAATATGTAATTATATATTGTGAAATATTTTTTTCTAAATACAAATAAATGAAATTTTGCCCTGAAGTGTAGTATTAAATAAAAAGTGACTCTGAAGGAGGTGGGGGCCAGCCCCCACCGCTAATACTCCTATTACTACTACTCGGATTCAGTAATACTACTTCAGGGTTCGGTAATGCACAATTGTATGGTTGAGATATATAATATTATATTAACGTCATCGAGAGCATGAGAGATAATACAATAATACAGTCAGGCATGTTACATGGTACCATTGCTCACCTCAGCCCAGCTTGGTGGTCCACATGGAGAGAGGGGGAAGGGAAGGAGGGTAAGGGAACAAGTGAGAGAGGACTGGAGAGGAGAGGGGGGAGAAAGAGTCAGAGAGGTCTGAGTCCGCGCGGTCCGAGCCCCCTGCGCCTATATTGCTGACCCATGCCTATATACCTTTTGGGGGCATGCCAGCCCACTAATTACAGGTAGAGACATACGTCACAGGGAGGGGTTACACTATAGGGTACCCAGCAATGAGAGGGTGGTCTCTGGGTCTCCATAGGAACCATTATCAGTTGGGTGCAAACCCCTCCTACAGGAACCAAGCTAATGGCCCCAAGCTTCATAGAGAAGTAGTCCATTGTCTCCAGCAGCAGGGAGCAGGCCCAGTGCAGTTTGGCAACTGATTGCCCTCAGGGGGGCGGAATGCCTGCGCATCTCACCTCCCCCCACACTGAAGCATGGTGTAGCATGGGTTAACATGGGTTAATATAACAACAGTAAACTACAGTGTTACATTTTGCAACATTATGTGTAAAAAGCCAACATTAATATGAAGGTAGAGATAGCTTCTTTCTCACCAGATCAGAAATTCTCGGGGAAGTCTTTGCAAAGAGCACAACGAAGATTAATCTTCCACAAGACTACTTCTGCATTTAGACTTGATAACCAACAAGCTGGAAAACCCTGTTTCACAAAGATATGTTGCTGGAAATGGAAGAAGACGAAACACAGCCTCAGACAGAACAGGATATGATTGCAAACACTTGATCCAGAATTTTGTAACTAGCATTGTAGAGAAATCAGTTCTCACTACATCACTGTTAATAAGTTCAATGAACTCCTCTTGTGCCGTCTCAGGAACATCTTCAACTTTGACTGTTAATGGGCTTCTGGCAAGTGCAAATGGGGTGTCACATAGATTTGGAAAGTACGAAGAATTTTTTCTGCAAGCATGTGCAAGTGTTCTTTCACAGAAATGATCATCATAATCCTTTTGTCTGGTTCAATGTCATGTTCCTCAAAGAAAGCAGAGAAGGAAGGCAGCATGTAAATTTTATTTTCATGCAACTTTTTTTGCCAAAACTGAAGTTTCATTTGGAATTATCGGATCTTTTCAGACAAATCGAGGCATGTTGCATTTGGTCCTTGCAGTGATAGATTTAACTCATTCAAGATGGCAAAGTTGTCAACCAAGTAAGCTATTTTCGGCAGTTCACTTTTATCGCCGAAAAGTGCTTTGAACTGAGGTCTTGCTTTCCGATTGAAAAATGTTTTGAGTTCATCACAAAGCTCAAAAACACGTTTTAAAACTTTTCCTCTTCACTCTGAGATGCTCACCTTCCCAACACGATGGCTGAAGACAAAACGGGTGAATAAGCAAATGTGGTGAAGAAAGCTGATGGTGCCTGGCTATCAAAAGATATAGTGTCTAGGGTCTTAAAGGCTTGAAGGCAAACAAGCAGCCATCTAGCTCAGAAGCAACAAAGCCCACATGGAAGAAGCACACCAGCCTGTGTGATCATGAGGTGTCGATGGGATCAGGTATCAGGCATCAAAGACCCAGAGCAAAAAAATCATAATGTGAATGAGGCAGGGGAGTGTGGCGTGGAGGCCCAAAGCCAATCTGTAAGCAATTGGACATCCCGCTACAGAAGGGTTGTGGGGAGAAGACAGGCCAGTAAGAGTGTAGTGCAGCACTGATGAAACATACAGCTTTCCTCTGGTTCTTTAATGCTTCCCCCACCCCACCCCCACTATCATGACCCTAACTCTACCTTATAAATCTGGCTAGATCAGAATATGTACATGGGTACAGATAAGAGCTGGAAACACAGGGAATCCAGGACAGATAAACTCCTCGGGACCAATATTGAGAGTAGCCATACCAGGAGGGTAAGGGGAAGATGGGGGAACAAAGGGGGGAAAATGACCTACCTATAACCCCCTCCCAGGGGAATGGACAATAGACAAAGGGGTGAGGGGAGACATCGGACAGTGAAAAACATGAAAAAATAATAATTTGTAAATTATCAAGGGTTCATGAGGGAGGAAGGAAGGAGGAGGGAGGGAGGAAATGAGGAGTTTATACCAAGGGCTTGAGTAGGAAGAAAATGCTTTGAAAACGATGATGGCAACGTATGTACAAATGTACTTGAGACAATGGATGGATGGATGGACTGTGATAAGAGTTGTGCGAGCTCCCAATAAAATGATTTAAAAAAAAAACCCAAAACTTTTCCTCTCGACAACCATCTCACTCAGTGTGAAACAGCAGAGCATGATTTGGTGCATCCAATTTGGTGCACAGTTGCGAAAACAGTCGACGGTTTAAAATGCTCGCCTTCACAAAATTGACAGAACTTATGACGCTTTTCATTACTTCCTGTAACTCTTGTGGCAGTGTCTTCGTTGCGAATATTTGCCGATGAATCCTACAATGAGTTCTGATAACTTTTGGTGACTGATTCAGTACCAAACATTGAAATCCAGATCGACATCCTAGCATAGCTGGAGCACCATCTTGCAAACACCACAAACCTTTTCCCAAGAGATCTTATGCTCTTTCAGAAATGAACCAACTGTGTCAAATACATCATGTACAGTAGTTGTCATTTCAAGAGGTTTGCAAAAAAGAAACTCATCTTTAAAGTTGCCATCATTATACCCCTCACGTAAACCAGTAACTGTGAACAGTTTACAATGTCTGTAGATTCATCAAGCTAGATGCTAAATATTGGAAGTGGAGCAGATTTAATTTCCTGGATTATCTGATCAAGAATATCAGCAGATACGTCATCTATTCTTCTGCGGACAGTGTCCTTAGATAAGGAAATTGCACTCAATTTCATAACAAATTCGTCTCCAATCATAATTTAACAATGTCTTTGGCCGCTGGCAACAGTAGATCCTCAGCAATGGTGTGTGGTTTCATAGCTCTGGTGATTCTGAGTGCCACCAAATATGAAGCTTCAATGGCTGCTATGTTTTGTTTGTGATATTTCCCACCAGTGTCAAGTCTGGCTTTCTTGAGTCCATCAGCTTTGCTTCTGTGCCAGCCTGGCCGATAATCACATGTAGGTCTGGTTGAAAGGCGGAGGGACAAATGGGTGGTGAAGCCTCGCCTTTCTAGTTCTCGGGTCTCTTGTTTTGTGATGGTTGCACCGGGTGCAGCTGCCTTAGCAGTTCCCTGCTTCAGCTTGCAAGATTGACTTCCTCCAAGACATCCCCAAGGAGAAGCCCCATGGATCTATCCCGATGCAGCCCTGGGTGCTGGAGCAGCCGTGTGGAGACCCTTGCCAGTGCTGAGATGCTTATTTGTTCAGTGACTCAGCTTTCCTCCTGCAGTCGGCATTATTGCCTCTGTTTTGTGAGGTGGAGGACTTTGTGGACTGGTGTTGGGTTCATGGGTTAATGTTGGACTTGTGGGCTTGGGCAGCATTGGGTTGGGATGTTTTCGTGATGCACATTTTCTTTGCATAAAACTCTCTCTTATACATGAGTCGCCGTGGATTTGTTTCTCCAAAGTACCTAGACTAATACACTTCTAAAATAGTTGGTATCCTTGCCGGCAAAGCTTGGATGCTTGCTATCAAAATGGCATTTTAGTTTGTTTGGCTTCATAGATTTGGCTGATAGAACTTCACAACATATAACACATTGTGATTTCTCAATTCTTGCTGTAATTATTGAGGTAGAGCCATACTATAAAAAATCCTCACTATATTTTCTTTTTTAACGTTCTTCTCTACATAATCTATTGTCATGGAATGGTTTGCTAATGAAAATAATATATAACAATAGCTTTAATAATACAAAAGATGATACATGATATAGTTCAGTTAATACAGTTCATTAAAATGTCCTATGATTTACCATTCTGTTGCTTTTTTTACATACTGGTTACTGTGACAAAGGGGCAGTATTCACATCAACCACAGCTGAATATAAAAAGACCAGTCAGCATCCAGATTAAGTTCCCATGGTATAGATTTATTTATATTTTTGCAATAGTTGATGATTTTACATTTACCCAGTATTTTTAATTCATGAAGTGTCGTTTTACCTCCAATACTGCCTTCTACAGCTGCTCTCTACTCATATGTGACTGGTCCACATAAGTACATTATGGTGCCAACCCTGTCACATAAACCTGTATTTGTACTGGGTGTATGTGATGGGGTTGGCGTGATGATGTCATCATGCTGGTACTGCATGTGGGTGGACCCACCTGGAGACGGATAGAGGAGTGGTGTTTGGTTTGGAAATATGTGTTTTCCAATGGTCTTAGGTGACCCGTGAAAGGGTCATTAAACCTCCAAAGGGGTCGTGACCCACAGGTTGAGAGCTACTGCTGTACCTGAATGTTCAATATAGTTAAACATATGGGTCACTCTCAAGGTTTTAAATAAGCCATTGTCCCCTTCCAAATTCTTATATGATTTTGTTTGGAGCGGACACATGGAATAGGATTATGTCCTTAAAATATAAAATCAATAGGAAAAACATCAAGTCTTCATTAAAAATATGGGTAAAAGGAATGCATAGATAATAAAGAAAAGATGTACAAAGTGCCTGAGAAACAAATTCAATAATGAAAGAAATCTAACACTTTACCTATAATTGCTAGAAATATTCAAAACCAGTATGCCAAAATAGTGATGATTATTCTTTCTGTGTAGTGCTGTTAATTACTTAGTATGGCCACAATCTTTCACTCTTTGACCACATGACATTGCACTGAGCCACCTCAATCCAGGAGAGAGTTATGGCACCAGAGGCAGCATGAGATGGGTGAGAAGCAGTAGCCAGGAAGCAGCTGCAGTAGAGGCAGTAGAGCCAGGAGATAGAGTGGTGGCTTCCTGACCAACAGAGCAAGAAAGCTGAGTGCTTTTGAGCAGGAGGCTTGTTGGCAGAGTGATGGGTTTGCCAGCCCACGAGGTCAAAGCTGAGCATCTCTGGGAGGCAGATTACTAATGGAGTATGGTGCCTCTAGGTACACAACTGGCAGAACTGAAAGAGCTTTGCAGCACAGCTGAGGCTAACAGCTGAAAGGTCAAAGGCCAGAGAGAGATGTGACTGTGGGCATGACTGGGAGGAGGCAACAGATTGAAGAATTTTCTTCTGAACATACTATATTGACTGAAGAACTTTCTCCCGAGGAATTCTTGATCCTGAGTTGTGACTGGTTAGTTCCTTAATAAACCCCTTAACTGTGAATATTTTCTGAGTTCTGTGTGGCTCTGATAGTTAGGTTTTGTGATTTAACGGAACATAATCAACTCCATGAGCAGCCAGCAGTTGTGGTGGAGTTGGACTCCGGTAGTCAGGTCACAGCCCTGATGCAACTGGAAGGAAATCTCACATGGCGTGTGGCCTGCTCCTTTAAAAGCAGATTCTATGGGATGCATTGTTGCTTTTAGCAGGTCTGGATTCTGCATCTGGTTCACTGACTTTCTGCCATATTGCCTGCTGATTCCATCAGTGGATCACTGACCTTGGATTCATTCGACTGCATCCCGTGTTCTTCCTGCTTTGTTTGAAATTCTCAAACTTGCTTTCTGTCAGATACTTAAATTATTGTTTTTCTTTTTCTTTTTTTTAGCCTCACATAGGAAGTGTTCTAAATCAGTTTCTTCCTTTCCTCCTACCATTTCCTGGTTCACCAGCCCCAACAGCTACTTGAGTCAGGAGAAGCCTTCAGCTTAACTTCTGACCCATGGGCTTGAACCGGACTAACTCACCCATTTCTACAACTGTGTGAGCCATTTTCTTTATATAAATTTATTTCTATATACAAGGGGGAACCCCCCCAAAAAAACCCTGAAAAAAGTCGGTTGGATGGGGCTATCATGGTACACATTTTTCCCACTATGCAAGCATTGAGCAACTCACACTAAGTTAGTGCACCCAGTGGCATCCCTTGGGAAGGTTCTCTTTGGTTACAGTGAAATTTTTTGTAAAAACAGTTTCACTTGAACCTTGTTTTCTTGTGATGACCAATTTAAGAGAAGAGTGTGTGGCTGTGATGTTGAACAAAGCTTCCAAGGACAGATGTAGGGGGAAAACTCAAGTGTATGAGTGGTTTTCTCATTTCAAAAAAAGTGAAATGTTGATTGAAGACAACCTCATTCTGGACGTCCATCAACTTCCCAAACAGACGAAAATGTCAACACAATTTGTGCATTTGTGCTTAACGACCAATGACTGACCATTGATGAGATGGGGAAGTTATCTGGACTATCTTGGAGCTTGGTTCAGCGAATTTTAATGGAAGATTTGTGAAAGAGAAACTTGTGTTATGAGTTCTGACTGACCAGGAAAAAGAACGTCAAGTGGAAACATGCCATGCTTTGAAAGAACAGCTCCAAAGCAACCCAGACTTTTTCCCCAAGGTCACTACTGGTGACAAGACGTGGTGCCATTCTTAAGACCCCGAAACCAAACATCAATCAAGCCAGTGGAAGACACCATCATCACCTCACCCCCAAAAAGCTTATCAAGTGAAATAAGAGATTAAGAGGGCGCTCATTTTTTTTTGATGTGAGGGGAATAGTGCATTTGGAGTGTGTTCCACCAGGTCAGACTGTTAATCAAGCTTTCTATTTAGGGGTTCTGAAAAGCTTGTACAACAGTGTGCCACCAAAAAAAAAGGTGTGATTCGTGCTAGACAGGGGACTGGTTTTCCCACCATGACAGTGTACCTCTTCATGCAGCCATCTCAGTGTGCCAGTTTTTGACACAAAACAGCATGGCTCTCTTGCCCCACACACCTGACCTCACTTTGTGGGACTTCTTTTTGTTACTGCAAATGGAGAGGGGCATGAAAGGACAGTGATTTGATGACTTAGAAGAGGTGAAGAAAAAAATGAGGGAGGGACGTGGTGTCAACCATCCAACCAGATGAGTTTGAAAAATGTTTCCAAGAATGGAATCTCAGATGTGACAAATGTAGTACGTGTAAATGGAGAGTACCTTGAAGGTGATAAGGTTGTTTAGTAAAAAAAAAAATTAAGTACATAGCTTTGGAGGGACATTCCATTTTGGGGGAGTCGGGTCACTGGGTTTGCTCCTCTCGAGAACCCAGAGTAACACAGTGGCCACTGAAAAGACTTACTGAACTCGATAGATTAGAGTGTTGTAAGAGGGAGATGGTTAGTGTCAAACTGGTTGTTGTTGGTTTTCTTAAAAAAAGCTTGGAAGGTGGAGGCACGTCTGACCTTGGTCCCACAGGAATCAGCCTTGGGCTACTGCCCATGGTGATTCTCCTCCTCCACACTGTTAACATTTGAGGTCAGGTGCTGCCCCCTCCTTGCATTTTTGCACCAGTACTTTCTAGTTTCTACTTTTCACTCTTCTGCATTGTCCAAATATCCTAGAACAAACATATAGAGCTTGTTAGGGACCAAAGTCAACCACAGATCATCCAGACTGTGTGAAAGCAGCTACTTCTGAGGCTAGACAATGGAAATGCATCAGGATTGATGGCGAAGAGCTGAGTGAGGCAATCTCGTTAAACTGGTTATGAGATAGCAGCTGCGTCTGGATGCTGAGGGGCAGAGCCACTTAGGCAACAGTCAAGGGAGTTATCCAGGAGGTCATCAGCATGTTATAAGGTTCCCATCATCAAGCTCTTCAGCCTTACATAGAATCCTCAATTTGAAGCAAAGCAGTTGGCTATTTCCAAGGGCAATTGGAAATTCAGAGGGGATGGGGTTTACTAATTAAAATAGTAATTCCCCTTAAATACTATGGAGGAGGCAGTGGGGGGTTTTTAAACCACTTCCCCTTATTAATAGGTCAAGCCAAGCCTCCTTTCCTCCCCCTATGCCTAAACTGGAGCCTCCCTTTGAACAAGTTCTACAGGAAACCACAGCATCTGGGCTGTGACTCCTTAAATAAACTTGAAGAAGAAACAAAAACTGCAGACATGGTTCTGTTTTACCACTGCTCCCAGGTAAAGTTCCAAAGTACCAAAATTTTTTGTTTCTTTTCTGTCCACTCAGGAACAGGTCTGATTGTATAGAAAGTGGACTTCTTTTTCCTGCAGAACTGAGAAACTGAAGAGATTCTCAAACTTGCTTTTCTTCAGACACTGGAATTATTCTGTTTTTCTTTTTTCTCTTTTTGAGCCTCACGTAGGAAGTGTTCTAAATCTGTTTCTTCCTTTCATCCCACTGCATCCTTGACCTGCCACAGTGTTCTCTTGGGATTCTCTACTGGCTCTCCCTACTTCTCAAATATTCTGACCTTACACTTGCAGTTCCAACACACAGAAGTTAATATATAGTTAATATACATAAGTTAATATATAGTAGCCCACTTACCTCTTGAGTTCTGAGGTTGGCATCCAATCCTTTGAATCAGGAAAACAAAATTTTGGGATAACTTTAAGCCTCTCTTCGGTATCCTTGGATTGCTTAAAACCATGATCACCCTGAAAAAGAAAATATGATGGGTGCTTCCGGTCCTATTTCAGTGGGTATTAGGAAGACCAAACAGCTTGATCTCAGGAACAGTGGTCTCTGATAGGCCCAAGCAGCCATCTCAGCATGGCTTGAAACTGCTTAATAGAATAGGAAAGCCAGGGCCAGTAGTCAGTGCAGAGGCACTGAGAATAAAGAAGCCTATATTTACCGATGGTAAATGGTACCATGGAGCACCTACAATCTGGCTGATGAGAGGTGACTAGAAATAGTTCCTTAACTAGAGGCAAAATCTTCATCTGAAATTTGCACACTATTGGAAACCTAACATCCCCATGAATCACAGCACAAAGAGTAAATCCATGTCCATTCTACTGTACACTGATAGCAAAAACTGGGTCAGCCTGAGACATTCTCTTACCAATCCAAAAAACGTTTTGAATGGAAGATGAATGTGATCTAGAAAACATAAATTGTTTTTTAGAATCCACTCCATGTATAATCATTTTTGTAGCATATAATCTTTGCTCCCTAACTACTAGTTTGTGACTTCCTGTAATATTTTAGCATGAAACACTCATTTGTAGACATCTGATATTGTGCTTTAAAAGGTAGTTTACAGGTAATTAAATTGAAAGTCATTTAGAAATGAATCAAATCTGCCCTCACTTAAAAACAAGAAGAGAATAAATCTACTTATCACACTGCCTTCAATATGCTGACTAATAAAGAGGATCCATTCTTTAACACAGCTTCCAAAATAAACACGCAGCCATTCTGGGTCATATCAGGATCTTAAACAAAATGGGCAGAAAAAATTGCTTTATCATATTCTTTTCCTTTTATATTCCTGGTTTTCCACCGCAGCCAGCTCTGTGCTCCCTAAGGTATGGGTGTCTGAGGCATGAAGATGCTAAGGAATTTGCTTAGTGACCTCCCCAGTCACTGCCAGAGTCAGCTGGGTCCTTATCTGGTTCTGAGCTCATTAATTTAAGCTGTTCTGGAAACAGATTCAACCTCACAAGTCCACTCTCCAAAATGAAGGAGGGAAATATAGTAAGTGTCTCTCGATTGGGAAATGTGATCATTCAAGATTATTAATTACTTTAGACTCTATGGTACTGTTTGACCTCACAGTGCAGTGACATTATGCTTTCCACAGACATGGAGGGACTTTATGAGCAAAGAAGCCTGCAGGATCCACTGCAGGGCTGTTTTCAGGACCTTGTACTTTCTTGGTGGACCCATGCAGGCCATGCCTCTGAGATCTGGCTACAGCGGGGCTGCACTGAAGCTGTGCTTCCCCAGAGCACTTGACCAAACAAACCATACAGCTCGGGGCCAGAAACCCAGTCCAAAATTGGCAGGTGAATGAGCAAAGTGGCCCAACAGTAATGTGGAGTCTCCTCCACATTATATACACACAGACACACACACACATTCAAAATGAAAATGTGGGGATCTGCTTTTTAAAGTGCCATTATATAGAAAATAAAAATGAAAACAGAAAACTTCATCCTTTCTTCTGTAGTCTTCCTCTCCACCCGTCATCAGGCTTCTGTGTGTTACTTAAATGATGCATTCCCTTAGGCAAGAGGGCACTTGGAGCCCTCACAGATGCCCAGGTGTCCCAGAGTGTGGTGCACATGCAGCCGGGCAGCATGCTTTTCCATCCAGCCAGCTTTGTGACACCCTAGAACCTGACTGGGGCTAGGAGAATTGAGTCAGCCATCTCTCCTTCCACAGGCCTGCCACACCAACCCACAGCAGCTGGGCAACTCCCAAGGGGCTGGAACTTCCACATTGGAAGGCTTCATTCTCTGGGTTGGGGGTTGGTAGAGGAGTTTGCTCTACCCACCCCACCCCTGCCAAGGCCAGAGTAGGTCACAGCCTTGTCCTGCCTAGACTCGCCAGATCCAGCTCCTTCCCATGACCACACCCAGGCCCCTGGAGGAGCCAAAGGGTGGCAGGGGTCACTGACTAGAGAGGGTAGGAGGAGGCTGGTTGGGCTCAGGACATCAGAGGGCAGAGGAAAGGTTAGTCAAAGGACTGGGAGCAGGAGTTGGGACCACATGAGAACTGAGGCTTTAAAACCCCAGCACACATGTCCCGTTGTCCAACTGGGCTTCACTTACAAAACTTGAATTCAAATGTTAAATTAAGAATCCTGAGATTGGGATTACGGAGTATTAAACTCCAGGCACAGCCCTTCTGAGAGGGGGGCGGGGGTCTCATGTGACTTCATTGGTCACATGCCCTGGAAGCCAGGCCTCTCCTTACTTGGCTTCCGCCAAATGCTGCCAATTAGGAATGCAGGTCAGCTGTTGGCAGTCCTTCCGATTCCTCAAGAAAAAGTCGCAAGAGATTTCTATGTGAAAATGATTTTTAAACACTGGCAACAAAATTTGTAATTATCCTTTTTTAAAAAAAATCAAAAACAATGCAAACCAAAGCAACATGTCTGTGGGCTCAGTTTGCAAACTGTGGTTTAAGAATCAAGTTTCTGTTTTTGTAACTCTGAACTATGAAGTTCAGAGCCACATGCTGTCTGAACACCCTGTGAAGGGAGAGAACCAGCTGTATCCCCAGTACCTAGGCCCTAGCAAATAGGAGGTGTTAAACAAATATTTGATGGTTAGCTTAGTGCATAAATGATTTTTTTGAAAAAGGTAAAGCAAAACTAGCTAATATCATAAATGATAGCTACCATTTATTGATTGCTTACCGTTTGCTAGGAATTGCATTACCTGTTGCCATCAAGTTGATTCCACCCCCAGCACCCCTAGGATCAAGTAGAACCACCCTACAGGGTTTGCGAGGCTGTAAATCTTTTTTTTTT